CGCATCCTGCTGGCCATCCTGAGGATCCAGTCAGGGGAGGGCCGCAGAAAGGCCTTCTCCACCTGCTCCTCCCACCTCTGTGTGGTGGGGCTCTTCTTTGGCAGCGCCATCGTCATGTACATGGCCCCCCAGTCCCGCCACCCTGAGGAGCAGCAGAAGATCCTTTTCCTATTTTACAGTTTTTTCAACCCCATGCTGAACCCCCTGATCTACAGCCTGAGGAACGCAGAGGTCAAGAGTGCCCTGYGGAGGGCTCTGTACAAAGAAGGTCATTCCCAGCTGCTCTGATACTTGAATCACCAGCCTCAACAGTCCTCTGGMATCTTGGTGCATAATTAATGTCTACAAGAAGAAATTTTACTAATAGTTTCATATCTGTRTCTGAACAGGACCAGAGCCTGCCCTTCTTCTTCCTCTTGAGGAATAATYTTAGATGCTTTCATATCACTCAATGTCATTTTAGATGTGCTCGTATCACTGGTTTTCCATGAGTTGAGGTTGGATCAGATATGCTTTTACATTTCTCATTGAATTGAGTATCAAATGARTTTTAAAACTATTTATTCATTGCCGGGGTCCCCAAAATTGAGCACATTCCATCGACCTCCTTCACCTAACTGTATATATGTGCTAAGTGCATATGTCTTAATATTTAGAAGAGAAAACCAAAAAAGCTGTAGCCAACTGTGGTGACCCCAAACCCAGCAGCACACACATCCATTCTCCTGCGATTGTGCCTGCCATTTCAAGGACAGCTCAGGCCCGTCTATCTGCTCATGCTGCATGCCATTAGGAAACTCTAGATGACAGTCAGTGACTCTAGTTAGGGAGTGAACCTGTTGGCCGAGTGAAGACAGGACATCCAAACACCATGTGAGACAGGAGAGGAAAAGAAAAAGGCCTCCACACAGCGTAGGAGCAGTGAGCATCATTCACAAACGTGGGGCCAACATGTTCAGTAACAGGCAGTAAAGGGTAACACTGAGCCTTCCTCTCTTACGTAGACTGAACATGTGTATCCAGGAAGATGGCCAGTGTTGTTTAGGATTAACCAGAGGACATGGAGGTGGGGCTGTGGGTTTTGCTGTGCACCTTCTCCACGTGTGGCTTCCCGGGTCTTTGCATCAGCACTGCCATCTTGCTAGTTCAGGTGTAGATCATTTTCCTCCTCTGAATTTCTACCCCTGGAAGAGGAGATTCCACCACAAAGTGTGGGTGCCTCGCCAGCCGGCTGAAGGGTGGATTGATTTTGCTCATATATGCTACTTGATCACGTGGCTTCTTAGGGTATTACCTATAACATTCCTGTATAACAGCCTGCCCCGAGATGAGGAGGGCCACTTTCACCCAGAGTCCTTCTCAATTCCACCAGGAGAGCAAATACAGGGCTAGTTGGGGGTTAGCATGCACTTGACTCAACTATACTTACTGCATGTGGATGGAGATACTCAGGTGATTGCAGAATATAAAACAAAATAGGTTTTTATAATAACAGCTAATATTGTGATTCGTCATTTATCAAGTGGTGTGTGCTMTACATTGATATCTCTTTACAACGAACAATTTCATTTAGTTATTTTAACAAATCCATGCAGAAGGTCCTGTTCTCACTCTATTTTATATAAGTGCAATGCAGAAATTAACATGTGTGGACTTTCACCTATTCTGACTCCCAARCCTTCAGGACTTCAATACAAGGACATAAGGTAGTTATCAATAACAGTGTTATAGAATAAAGAACAAAGCGAAGGATCCCAATATAGGATGTGCTGAGTGAAGGAGCACGTTTTTTAGAGCTGATCTAGCTCCAGGAAGCCTGGTGGACCAGGAGTCTTGTAGGAAAAGGAGGCGGTCCTGGGWGATTACTGTTGTGTGCAGAGTCACACGGTGCTTTAGGTTTTAGAGGAGCACAGAGCTTGAAGAAGCCAAGAATAAGGGTTGTTCTCATTCAACATGGAGATTTAGTTCAGCTAAGACCTGGGACACCAGACTACTCCTACTAAGTCTTTATCTTTCTCTGTGTGTTTATGCGTGTAGGGGGAGTATCTTTAGATCTCTAGATACAAAAGGATCTATGTTTGTGAAAAGAAGCAGCTTGACTATAAACCAGTATGTGAAAAAAGTGGAAGGGTTAGCAAGAAAAGAACTGTGACTCCAAAGAGCAGGGGCGTATGGCCAGGAGAATCCTGGAGATGTGCAGGATGGAGAAATGACAATGGAAGAAAAGTTTAACAGTCCGTTCACATTGCCTGAACAAGCAAGCTGAAATAGAATGGATGTTGTATAGCATTTTAACTAAAAAAAAAAAAAATAGCTACTTTCTAAGACAAAGGAATTCAGCTTTATTTACAAAATAAGTGCCACCTGAAAGGTTGGTGGTATCCATCAAACTTATTAAACATGGCAGGCATTAGACTTCCGACTGTTCCTTTGTTGCTTTTAGTTCTAGACAGAATGAGTCCTTGTGAGTTTCTTCTATGGTGAATATTAATAATAATGTCTCCTTCACAGTGACAACACAGGAATTGCAAAGATATTAGCAGAAGGTATTTACTACTTAATATTTTTTAAAAATATGTGCATTCCTTCTTGTCTTATAGAACAGAGGATCTTCAGGGCTATTCTCAGATGTCGGTAGGCACATAGTGTGCTGGGATAGAGGTCCTGCATCCATGGCTCTGAATGGGATGGGCAGAAATTCAGATTTTGGATCATCTCACATATCTTGCTGATGGGTCGATCATCAGGCCACACTTTGAACATCAATGACAGGGCAGCATTGTTAAATCTTCCTAGGGGAAAAAAGATGGGTCAAAAATGAAGGAAATTATTTGCATGTGGTCTCACAGGACTATGTGGACCCTCAGGCTCTGATGCTTTTTCTGCCTACAGGGAAGCTCCATTTTTCTTTGCCTTCTTGATGAACGTTGATGACAGTGCAGGCTGGGTTGCTATTTTGGTTTTTGTTTGGTTGTTGTCTGTTTATGTTTTAATTTTCATTACCTTGTGGGGCCAGGAGGAGAGAAGCACTGTGAGGCACAGTCAGGTTTTGTTCTTGGAGGGCTGGCTCAGAGCCAGGGTGTTTGGGTTCCATCAGAAATTGGAAAAAAGAAAAAAAAAAAGGTGGTTGGGAACTCTTCGTGCTCATGCACATGGAACACTTCACTTGGGACACCCGATGTGTGGGGGTTTTCCTCACATGGCAAACAATGAGTGTCCCAGCTAGGTGTCCCATAATTCACTACTTCAGTTCTGACATGATCTACCGGGAGATCATGTCCGATCTCATGAGTTAAGGCCTTGGACCAGAAACACACACACACACACACACACACACACACACTCAGATGGCAACCACAAGCCCCATCTGCTGACCTGTGCTCCTGAATGACCAGCCACGATTCAGGATTTCCACCGCATCACTGCAGGCCTAGGGGCTGCACACATTGTTCTGCTCATAGTCCTTTGGTAAAATATGACACCACCTAAGCGTAAGAGGGCTGCAAGATGCAGTCCCCTGGTAGAGTGACATCCAGAGAAGGCCGTCCCTCAGGAAGGGCAGCCCAGGTCTTTCAAGGCAGGACACTGACTGAAGGCGACTGTAGCTGCTGAAGCCAATGGACCTAAACTCAAGCTCTGGGTGCCGCCTCTTTGACTCCCTGGTTCTGTGGATCCTAAATCAACTTCTTCCCGGTGACATGGACCTAGTCAGGACACGGAAATCAGAACATTACACCATCGCTCTCCACCCTTGGCACCTCTCTCCGGCCGTCCTGAAGACACAGTCTCCTCAGCCTCAGTGTTTCTCTGGATGTTAGTAGCTGCTTTTACAAAACTCTGAGGATGATTCCCGTTGAGCAGGGGTGACATCCACCCACTCCATGTGCGGTTTCATCTGTGTTCTCTTAAATCAATCCTATGGTTAAATTCTAGATGTACTTTAATCATAAAAGTCATACCTAAYGATATTAAATACTCAATACTAGCACACTATAAATGTTTTTTTATTTCAGTTGATACTGAGTGTTTCACCTACATGCTGAATTCTTCCTTATTTTTATGTCACTTTTACTCTTTTCAAATAATAAAAGCTAGCTGGGCACAGTGGTGCACGCCTGTAATCCCAGTGGCTCAGGAGGCTGAGGCAGGAGGATTTGGAGCTCAAAGCCAACCTCAGCAACTGTGAGGCACTAAGCAACTCAATGAGACTCTGTCTCTAAATAAAATACAAAATAGGGTTGAGGATATGGCTCAGTGGTCAAGTGTCTCTGGGTTCAATTGCTGGTACCCCCCAAAATTAATAATAATACTAAAAATAAAACTGTCAAGTCAAAAACTCTCTCAACTTACTATTAACAAAATACAGACAACATTGAGTTATAACTATTGACATTTATGTTTTTAAAGAACTTTCTTAAGTTTTGGTTTGTGTGATATTCTTAAATGTTGAACTTAGTATTTTTAGTATCTCATTTTTAAATTTTTAAAATTTATTTTAATTAGTTGTACATGGCAATAGAATGCATTTATGCACTTTGATGTATCATACACAGATGGAGTATAATTTCTCATTTTTCTGATTGTCCATGTTGTAGAATCACATTGATCCCATGCAGTCACATATATACATAAAGTAATAATGTCTGTTTCATTCTACTGCCCTTCCTATCCACATATCCCCTCCTCTCCCTTCATTCTCCTCTACCTAATCTAAGGTAACTGGAGTCTTCCCTAGTGCCCCTCCCCTTGTTGTGAATTAACATCCACATATTAGAGAAAACATTTGGCCTTTGATTTGGGGGGATTAGCTTATTTCACTTAGCATGATATTCTCCAACTCCACCCATTTACTGACAAATGCCATAATTTCATTCTTCTTTAAAGCTGAGTCCATTGACTATATATAACACATTTTCTTTATCCAGTCATCTATTGAAGGACATCTAGGTTGGTTCCATAGTTTAGCTATTGTGAATTGAACAGCTATCAACATTGATGTGGATGTGTCACTGCAGTGTGCTGATTTTAAGTCCTTTGGGTACAAACTGAGGAGTGTGATAGCTGGGTCAAATGGTGTTTCCATTTTGAGTTTTCTGAGTAATCTGCATACTGCTTTCCATAGTGGTTGCATCAATTTGCAGTCCCACCAGCATGCACCTCAGATAAAGCATAGATCTCTAGGATATATAAAGAAATCAAAAAACTTAACACCAAAAATCAAATAACCCAATCAATAAATGGGCTAGGGAACTGAACAGACACCTCACAGAAGAAGAAATACAATTGAT